ATCATTACTATTACTATCATTATCATTATTGTTTCTATTGTTATTATTAATGATATTAACATTATTGTCATTATTATTACTACTACTTTTCATCAGTATCATTTTCTTTCATTTTTATTGTTGTTGTTGTTATATTCATCATCATCATCCTCTTTATTAACAATGTTGTTTTTTAATACTTCCATAACTAATATGACTGTTATTGTTATCATTATTATATCACCCTTATTTTCATCATTATTATAATTGTCATTACTACTATCATCATTACTATTATTACTATTGTTATTATCATTATCATTCATATGATTATCATTATCCCTATTATTGTTAATATTAATATTATTATTATTAATATTATTATCATTATTATCATTATTATTATAATCATCATTATCATTATCTTACATTACTATTGTTATTATCATTATTATCATGCTTATTATTGTCAATAATATTACCATTTTCATCCTGATTATCATTATTATCATAATTACTATCATCATCACCATCATCATTTTGTTTTTATCATTGCTAGAACCATTATCATCATTATCATTACTAGTAATATCATCATTATTACTACTAGTAATATCATCGTTACTACTAATAGTAACATCATCGCTACTACTAATAATATCATTCTTGTTAGAATCACCATCATCATTGTTGTTATTATTAATATCATTATTATTGGCATTATCGGTAGTCTTATCAAAATAATGATAATAAGATTTCCACTTCAGCTTTGGCATCATTGTAGATAATGTGATTTTAATTAGAATTTATCGTATCTATCGTTAGTTTTGTTTCTATTACTACTATAAATAGTATGATTTTAATAGAACTTTTTTTTCATACATACTTATCATTACTACCATTCTTATTACTTTTCCTTGTTATTGTTAATATTGTTGTATGTTGTATGTACGTTTTTTCTGTCCATTTATTTATACATTTATCTATCGGTTAACAATTTTCATGCCAGGATTACATAAAATGTTACCGCCGTGATGGCAATTCTATGGCTGAGTTAACATGTAGTGTTTATATTGTAGCGAATCGCCTGCTCAGTCACGGCGAAACACCTCACCAAACCTGTTCCGAATTCTGTTTCGAACATCCGCTTATTCGCACACTCATTACATAGGGGGAGAGAGATTCGAAGCTTCATTTCGTAAGTTTTTCGTACTTTTTCGTATTGTTATGTACACACTAGTCTCTCCGGCGGTTTAATATTAGCGGTAAATTCATACGATAAACCACCTACGTTTGTTTTAAAGACATAGTTATTGCGCAATTTCGATGATGCATAATATTCATTGTAGAGAAAAAAAACGGAGAATGCGGGAATAGATAGATAGATAGATAGATAGATAGATAGATAGATAGATAGATAGATAGACAGATAGATAGACAGATAGATAGATAGATAGATAGATAGATAGATAGATAGATAGATAGACAGACAGACAGATAGATAGACAGATAGAAATTGATATAGATATATATACATTTTTTTACGATTGATTGAAGGTAGCTACGAGCTCTGATATTCCATCCTGAAAGTTTCATAATCTGTGCATTATCATTACTTTTAATACACGTAAGCACTTCAACTTTTGAGGAGAGCTGGTATGTAAGGAAGAATTATCTTTTAATATTTTAAGACCAGGTGAAGGTAAATTAGGGAAACATTTCGAGATAAAGGAAGGATTTTAAGTTGTGAGGTTGGTTTGAAACAGATGGGGAAGGTTGTCACTGTCACTGTAATTTCTGGTTGTTATTATATGAATTATTTCTATGGTTATCATTATTTGTGCTATTATAGGTATTAATATCATTAGTATGATTATAATAGTAATGATAATTATTATTATTATTATTATTATTATTGTTGTTTATTATCATTTATTATTATTATTATTATTATTATTATTATTATTATTATTATATTATTATTTATTATTATTATTATTATTATCATATTATTATATTATTATCATCATTATCATTATTATTACCATCACTATCATCACAACTACAATCATCATCATTATCATCATAGTTATTATCATTATAATTAATCATTATAACATCACCGCATCACCATAGCTGCTCTCATTATTTCCATAATTATCATTATTATCATGAGGTAATGGTGTCGTTAGTGCTCATTTCTCTTTAACAACCTGATTATGCAACAAGGTAATTACGGATGGCGATGAAATAATTATTATCATTTGTAATCACTATGATTATCGTCATTATTTATGGTATTGTTATCATTGTTGTTATTGCTGTCATAAGGAGTTGTTGTAATAGTATCATTAGTATTATCATTATTATTAGGCGTGTTGTTATCATCAGTATCATTGTTAGTAGTTGTGGTATCATTATCATTACTGTTGTTTTTATTATTATAATCATTATCATTATCATTATTATTAGTATTATTACTTTTATCATTATTATTAATATTATCATTATCATCATTATTATCATTATTATTATTACTATTTAATTATTATTATTATATTATTATTATCCGTATTATTATAACCATTATTATTATTATCATTATTATATTATTATTATTATTATCATATTATTTATTATCATTATTATCATTATTGTCATTTATTTCATTATTATTACTATCATTATCACTATCATTATTACCGTCGTAATCATTACCAACATCACTAGTCCTAATACTACTACTTTTACTAGTACTGCAATGATTATCATTGATATTACCATAAATCCTCAACACTTAATATGTATTTACTGCTTACATGACAGTTATAATGGAAAGAACGTTTACAAACTTAAACATATATACCTCAACTGTTAACCAGAATGAAATGCCAAAATTAAATGAATATATGATGATAAGAATAATTAGATAATAGGATAAGTCATTCTTAATAAGCCAGACCGTAGACGAAAATCTTATATTCAAAACAAACCCCTTTTTTTCTGAACCAAAAATACCTGTAAGTAATCTTTTACTTGTCTAATGGCTTCGCCCAGCTGTGAAAATAACGGCGGGAATTTTCTGTTTATATTCACCGTCGGCAGATATCCCGCGATATCTGCCGACGGTGATTAATATCAATTAATTTAATATTAATTGATTTTAATTAATTAATTTCAAAATTAATATTAATTAATTTAATATCTGATAGAGTTGCAAGGCTTTTAATAATCCCCGGAGACAACTTTTGCAAAGACCCAGGCCAACGCTTGCCAGGTATTCTTATCCCAAAGATTAATATCAACTTGATTCTCGATATATCAAGCCTTGATATAACAAATCGTGAACAGGTTTTGGGTGTAATTTGGCACTGTGATCTGCAGAACAGGCGGAGAACTTATTGCTGACGTCATGTATTTGCAAAAAGATAATTCTTTATTCTGTCCAAGATAAAGATATTTGGGTTATCTCTGCTGGAAGCGAAAAGATACTATTGATAAGAAAGACCATGAAAACCATGATAAGCAAGATAACTGTGGTAACATTTATGGTGATAATTATTAAGACAAAAATTGCCATAAAAAGATAAATTACATCATGTGATATTGGAATTACTTTCATTTCTGTGGATGTTTCTTTAGTTCTGTTAAAATTCTCATGGACCTTAATATACCAATAAATACTATTGTTATCAACATTCTTATTACAATTATTGTAATATTATTACCATTATTATTATTTTATATTATTATCATTATCATTATTTATCATTATTATCATTATTTATTTATTTTTTTTACTTATTATCATTTTTATTACCTTTTACCACCATTATTATAATTATCATTATTTATTACTATCATTATTATTATTATTATTATTATTATTATTATTATTATTATTATTATTATTATTATTATTATTATTATATATTATCATATTATCATATTTTATTATCATCATTATCATTAGTATTATTGTTTTTATTATATGTTATCGTTATTCTATCATTATTTCATCATCATTACAGTTATTATTCTTATCATTATCATTATTATCATTATTATTGTTGTTTCACCATCATTACCATTATTATTATTTCTATCATAATTAGTAATAATAGTAACAGTGTCATGATTGTTAGCATTTTCACTACCATTTATTTTATTATTATCTTTATTATTATTATTATCAAATCATCATTATTTTTTTTTCTTACCTTTCTCATCAATATATTTTTTATCATTATTAAGGTTATTATAATCATCACTGTTGCTGTACTATTATTATCATTATTATTATAATGTTTTGCATTGGTGTTAACATTCATATCAATATTATCATTTATTCCTTAATTATTTATTTATATTTCATTATCATTACTATTACGATAACTTTTAATAATATCATAATTACTACCATCCCTGTTCATATAAATAAAATAAGTAAATCTATAATTGATTCTGTAAATATGATTATGATTTTATATTGAAAGCGGCCGTAATAATAATCATAATGAGTTAATATTGTATTGAAAGGATAGAACAAATACCAGCGGCGACAACTGCTTCGGCGCCCATTTTGCTTTCGAGACAAGAGCGCAGCAAAAAACAAACGCGCGCAAGAAGGGCGACAATAGAATAAATCGCAGCACCTCTAATAAAACTAAAGGACGGCGTCAGCCCGAAATGCAAATGAGCCTAATGAACACATTTACGCCGCTGCTGCCGCTCTGTTGGCCGCCTCGCCCTCCCTGGAGCGCCGCGCCGCAGAGCCAGACGGCGCCCCTCCCACGCCGAAATCAGGACTGAGATGTCTCGCATTTGTAAATTCTGCCGCCAGAGGTCAGGTCAAGATGGCGCCCGAATTGCTACTCTCGCGCACAAGGAGCCACGAGGGTTACCAGGGTAAATGATTTAGGAGACACTTAATGGCGCCTTTATCGGAGCAACATAAGGGAATACTTAGCGTGGTCTCTGCAGAGTACTACTGAAGTTGCATTCGAGAATTGAGGCGAGTC